TAAAGTTGCACCATGCTGATGGGATTTCTGTTGAAATATCTGATAATGTGGAAAATACTATTGGGAATCAAAACAGAATCAAAGATGTTCTCCCTAGAAGCTCAAAGCCTGGCAGGTGGCTCAGGTGTCTGATTTGGCCACAACCCCAGGAGTTTGTGGTGCTTGGGGACCAGACGTGAAGGAGGATGTTCCAGAGCACCTGGCACATCGCAGACTCCAAACCAAGTCCACCCCCAGCAATGACAAAGCAAACAGACAAATGAGGATCCTCTGTGTTTGGGGTAAACAAAGACAAATGAGGAAATGAACTTCACTAGCAGGTGAAATATTCCAGTTCAAAGGTGTTTTCCAAACTGTGGTTATTTGTATATCATGGTTTTTCTTCAGACTGGCTAACTTCAAAACCTTAAATTCCATCCAGCAACCAGGTATAAGTTGAAAACTTATGTTCACATACAAACCGGCGCAAGGATGCCCACCTATAGCAGCTCCATTCATAGCTGCCCAAACTTGAAAGCTGTCCTTCAGTTGGTGAATGAAAAAAACAAAACAAACTCCCCAAATGGTAGCACATCCAGACAAAGGAATGTTATCTGAAAAGTCTACATACTGATGATTCCAACTACATGGTATTTTGGAAAAGGTAAAACTGCGAAGATGATAAAAATTGCCAGAGGTTTGGAAGACAGAAGGAAGACTAGACAGAGTGTGGGGAATCGGCAGGGCAATGAAGACATGGGTACGCTATAATGATGGTTCCACATCATGACTCATCTGCTCAAGCCTGTAGAATGCACAACACCCAGGATGGACCCCAATGTACACTGTGATCTTTGGGTAATTGTGATCTATCGTTGTAGGTTCATGGCAGTGAACCTGGTGGGGGATACTGGTGGTGGAAGAGGCTCTGCACATGGCAGGCAGTAGGCATAAGGGAATTCTGTCTCTTTCTTTTGATTTTACTGTGATCCTAAAAATGCTCTAAGTAATATTCTATTAAAAAAAAGTGATGCATATTATAGTCCCTAAGCAGACCATAGTATAAAGTCTGTGAATCCGATTGCCATCAATTCCTTCCCTTCCTGCACAATCAGGCTGCTTTTCTCATCAAGAGGCGGGGTCCATTCTCCTTTCTTTGAATAAGACTGGCCTGTACTTTGACCGGCACAGCATGGCAGAGGTAAGCAGCGACAGTGCCGAGCCTAATCTCTAAGAGGCCTGGAAACTTCTACCTTGCTCTCTGAAGAGAAGCCTGCGACTATACAAGAAACCTGACTACTTGGAAACCACCATGCTGTGCAGAAGTCTGGGGGAGGTCTATGGAGGATCCCTAAGGAAACGAGCAGACAGGAAGAGCCATGACCCCAGACATATGACCCCAGTTGAAGCACGTCAGCCAGTTCTCAGTATGCCTCAACACCACGAAGTGCAGATTAGTGATCTTTGATGTGACCAATATGAAGCCATGGCCCAGAAAGTCAATGAGCACAATAAGATGCTTGTTGTTTTAAGTCACTGACAATGGAGATAATCTAAACATTTTGCTTGAGAAGATATAAGGGGTGGTTAAGATTATATTCTGGATGCAGATGGTTCTAGATCCCAGCATCTCTCAGTGTGCATGAAGCCTGAAGTCTGACTGTTACACTGATGCCCCCAATGAACATCAGCTCCCAGGATTCGTACTCTTGTGCAATCCCGCCTACGCTGGCTTTGGACTTGGCTGTGTCACTTGCTTTGGCCACAGAGACATGAGCAAGTGAGATCCAAGTAGAGACTTGATAAGACCTTGCACAAGAGGACTTGTCTTTTTGGAATGCTTGCTCTTAGAGCCCTGACCCCCGTGGAAAGAGGTCCAGCTGTCTGGCTGAAGCGTTCACATGGAAAGCGAGAGAGATTCCTAGCTAATCCCAACTGTTCCCGTCATCCTAGCGGAGGTGCCAGACATGTGAGTGAGAAAGAGCAGAACTGACCTTTTAGCCCAGTTCACAAGGCACAAAAAAAAAAAAAAAGATAAATTGCTGTTCTTTAAAGACACCAAATTTAGGGTTGGTTTGTTTTGTAGCAATAAATAATTAAAAGAGAAATAATGTCCATGAAATCATAAATGTGACAAAAACATTTTTCCTACTAATGTTAAGTTTTTTTTTTAAAGTCAATCAATGCACCACCTAAAATAATCTTATATTCCACCGATCATTCACTTCTCAGACTTGAGCAAATACTGGTTTAATGGGACAATAATAACAAGTATAAGCATGATCATCAATGCAATATCTAGTCATCTCTAGATTCTGTGCTAAATGGTTTATATATTCATGTTCTAATTTAATCCTCCCAACATCCTTATCAGGTAGGAGCTGTTCTTATTCTCATTTCAGAGATGAGGAGAGTGTTGCTCAGAAGGTTCAGTGATTTGCCAAAGGTCTCCTGAGGGTTATTTTTGATGCTTCTTATAACTTGTTTTATGGAATAGAAACTTTTCTTGATCCAGAAGTAAGTAAGATCTAATCTCTATATAATGCATTTTCTACCTTTTAGGTATGAAATGCTGATATCTTTGCTCATATCACGTTCAAGGTCTTTTGCCACAAATATGACTAGAATGTCTACCAGGCCAGAAGCTTGGGCTGCAACAAGCCTCCTCACTCTCCTTTCACCTCTCCATCTCCACTTGTGGGATCTGTCAGAACACTGTCCCCACCAGAGCCACCTGACTAATCATCAGTAGTATTTATTGGAGATTTAGTATGTACTCAGTTTTGTGCTGTGTGCTGGGGTGGGAATGGAAGGTTAAGAAGAGATTCGATATCAGGGTAAAACATGACCCCAATACTCAAAGATTAGCTCACACCCCGGAACAGTCACTCAATAAAGTAAGGCCCTTTAAATTATAAGCTAAATTACACAGAGCCAGTATGTTACAGAAATTGGGAGGATAAGGAAAAAACCTGGAGATGCTGAATGGAAACGGCAACTCTTACATGCCTCAGAAGTGAACATAAGTTTTGCAACATTGGAGCTAAGAGGAGAAGGCACTCAAGATAAAGGAAATATTCTAGAAGATATGGTGAGGGTCTTCCTACCCCAGAGACAGTTTGGGGGTAGGAAATAAGTTTGGATCCATAGCCAGAGGCACTGAACAGACAGGGACCATAATGGATGCACCTCTTATTCCCAGCCCACTACAGGGCCCGGGACACATTAAGAACAGCACTTACTGAATAAACATGAATCAGACAAAGTGTGGCCCATGAAGTATACGTGGTGGAAGGCTGAATCAGAAAGGAACTCTGGGCGGTGAGAAGGTATACTTCCAGGGACTCTCCAAAGAATAGAGCCAGAGGCCATGCCCGTGGTCTTTCAGGAAGGGTGCTAGACGTGGTGCAAGGAGTCCAGGCAAATTCATGGTGCCAGAAATAGCACCCCGGCAGCCTGGGACAAGGGCGGGCCTTGTCTGAGATACAGAAGCCCATTCTACTGACTGGCAGCAAGAAGCGCCACGGAGGCTTCCTTCAGTGGTCTTGGACAGAGCTCAGCAACTGCCCTTTCTCTCCGGAAACTGCCCTTGCCTTCGCCAGGACCCTTTTCTTCCCTCCAACAGTGAATTCTTCCCTCTCATTCCCCATCTTTCCCTGGGCCCACCACTATTCAGCCACTATTCCTGAATGTAACCTGAAGGGATGGGAGATCCCAGGACTCCCCTGGAGGGGACTGAACACTCACTGTGTTTTAGAGGCCTCTAAGTCTCCATCAGCCCACCAGCCTAGGGATCTTCTTCAAGTCCGCACACCAAGCCCAACGCCCATCAAGGTGAGACCCTTTGATGCAAAGTCAGCAAATTCCGACAGGCCTCCTGGCTTCCTGGCTTCCTGATCACCTGAGCACCCAGCTCCGAGGGAGCAGTGGCAAAACGTTCTTACTCTCTTTGTTCTTCAGGGAACAGTGAGCTTTGGTTTGAGGTTACCTCTAAGGGAAAAACAATCTGATGTGTGATAAGCCTCTTTGGCCGCTGGCAGAATGAGGAGGGCCTATCAGACCCAGCTCCAGTAAAACAAAGCTGGGCCTGCCCAGCAGGGTAAGCTGAACTGTGGCCCTAGGTTTTGGCGAAAAGATACCACTTAAAACTCCAGCCCAGGGCTGACACCTGGGAAATCATCTGGGAGGATTATAAATAAGAAAAGGAAGTCATTCTTGGGGATCTGCAGAACCAGAAAAGCAATTTCATAAGCATATACATTTCCAACAGCACCTCTGCAAAAACAGCTCAATTTGAAATATTCATTTGCATCAGAATAGTCATGAATATTCAAAAGTCAGCCAGTGTTTCTGAACCATTGTCTATTCCTGGCGCTTTCATCTTCCCCTTGAAAAGCAGATCATGGGTTTTCAAGAAAGGTGGGCTTGGCTGGTCTTTGCATTGCCATTCTTGGCAGGAAAGGGGCTGATTATTTTGTTTCTTAATATTTAAAAGAAGAGAAAAGGCCTCAGCTGGTGTTAAATCCTTGCTCTTTGTTCGGGTCAGGAGAAAGATCACACCACAGACCTCAAATCTGGCCCATGGTGCTTAGATTACTGAACCTATTTTCCTGCATTTTTAAAGAGCAAATCCACACAGGATCAGGAACCAGATGTGTGGAGTGTATATAGCCCTAGGATTTGGGGGACTCCTATCACAGTGCTCATAGCTCTGGGTAGCTTTGGTCAAGCCTCTTATCTTCTGTACGCTCATGTCCCCATTCGTCATAAAAACACACATGTGCTCACCCTCCCTCTCATCTTTAGCTTCGGTATTACACAGCTCAATAAGATAGCACTTTAAGTGCTAGTGCTTTGAACTCCTGGGAGAAAAACCTAGAGCCATGGCCAAGTCAGCGGTTGTAGATTGAAGCTTTCATTGCCAAAAAGCAATACAATCTTCTGATTCACAGGAGTTATCTTAAACTGTCTTAGTGTTAAGAAAACAAATGCCATTACCAAAAAAAGGAAGGAAGACTCACCAGTGTATCATTTGCTGAGATGATTAGCAGCTATTTCTCCCTTCTAGGCTACAATGTTGACTTTCCCAACAAGTCTTCCTTATGCTCCAAATGGATAAACAGTTCAATAACAGGTTTAAGGCAGGTGATAAGGAGATTCAGGAAGGCTGAGTTGGCACAGAGTTAATTTCTCTGCCCCACCATGTTCCAGTTGAAGTTCATTCTATTGTCGCCTAAGCTCTGTCTCAATTGTTCAATTTATGTGACAAAGTCTTGATGGTATCTCTTTAAGGCTGTCAGAGGAGCCAATGCAATGTCAATTCAGAAGTGAAGTCATGGTTACAAAAGTGCCTTTAGTGAAAACTGACAATGTGGGAAGCCTTACCTGTTCTCTTGCAATTATTTCCGTATTCAATTTGCAAGATAAAAGATGAGTGCCTTTCCACCCACCCCACACCTCTGGAAGAGGCTGTGCTCATTCTATTTATTCATCAGCTTCCTCACGGTTGGCCTCAAATCACCAGGGAGCGTCCTCGAATGTTGGTGCTGGGGAGGACTTCAGGACATTTTCTAGCGTAGCTCTAGTACAGGATCTAAGCATTGAAAAGATAGAATTATTCAACACAAACAGTTTTATTAACCAGGCATTCAAAAAATGCATGTATTGGTATCATAGGGCTTAAAGAGGATCTGAATTAAAGGGAAAAGTCTGAGGATGGATGAGTCAGGACAGAAGGGTGACATACTGCCCATGGTTGTGTAACAGGGTGGTCCCCAGGAAAGGGGGAGGTTCCCTGCCCCACCCAATGGAGCAGGGAACCTCCCCCTTTCCTGGGGACCACCCTGTTACAGTTGGATGGAGAATGAACACCTCAGCTTCTGTGCTCCCCACTGAGACAATTTTAGGTTCCAGAGGCCTTGTCACCCACAGCAGTGATCTGTTCATGAGTACCCCCTTTATTGGTTTTCCTCCCTTTCCTGACTCACTACCACAATCTCTCACGATGTTCCTTGAGATCACCTCTCAATTAAACTACTCACATCGATTCTTTTTCTCAAGGACTGCTTTGGACAATGTGGTGAGCCATACCTCAAAGGCACTCCCTTCAGAGGATTGGGTCTCAGCTGGAGCTGGTTGTGCACCCACAGGGCATCTGGCAAAATCTGGAGGTGTCTTTGATTATCATAACTTGAGGAGAAGGTGCTACTCCCATGCAATGAGTCAAGACCAGGGGTGCTGCTAAATATCCTGCAGTATGTAGGAAAGGCTCCCACAGCCCTGCCCACCACGCGGTGGTGTTGAGGGCGGGAGGCCTGCTGTAGCAGGGAGAGGGGCTCGCATGTCTCGTGCCGTCAGCTCACTTCATGATCTCAGAAACTGTAGAAAGGTCTCCTCTTGAGGATGTGCTCACAGAGAAAAGCCATCCAGGTCATCCATCTCAGCAACTCTTCTGCTTGGGGTAATAGCAGCGCTCTTTCCTGGGGTATGGAGACAATGTGGCTCCAGCGGCTGTAAGTGTGAAAGGACATTCAGTTAGGGCAGCGTGGAGCATGCCCGGTAACTTCATGGCCATTGTGATGATTCCTGGACAAGTAGCTTCTCTTTTGATCTCTTTTAACCACTGAAGTGCCAAATCAGGACTGAAACACAGATCTGAACTCCTACCCCATAACTCCCTTTCCCAGTGGCAGAGAGGAACATATGGAGGACCCCATGTTCTGCGGTAGAATAAATACGGCTAGCAGGTGGCTAGCATTAAAGCCAGAATTCTCTCAAAATTCCTGCATCCTAGTAAACATCAGTCTCATTACAGTGAACTGTGTCCATCTTCTCATGTAGCCCCCAAAGGGTAAGCGCAGTACTATACACAAACACATACACACTATACTACACCCCCCCCCATGTTCCTATATTCCAGATCCTGGAAAACAATATAGGAAATTCAGCTTTAAAACCCTTTTCAAATTCCAGGTGAAGATCAAGAGGAAAAAGTGTGATCAAGCTTATACTAAGAATCCTGAGGAATTTTGTCTCTGACTTTTTAAGAAGATGCCATGAGGAGTTACAGAAAACAGCCAATAACCAACAAGAGGTCTTTAAAGAACAAGTTTACATCTGGGAAAGATTTTAGGTACCACCTCACTCAACAGGCTTACTTTACAGATGAGACCAAGGCACAGGAAGACAAGGAACTGTACTAGTCTGCTCAGCAGAGGTCAGAACATTCCCTGCCCATTACTGCGGAACATTCCCTGGAAGCCAGTTTTCTAGTAGAGTTCTCATTTCTAGTAGAGTTCTCAAAAATAAATAAAGACAGTCATCAAATATAAATATAGTTCTAAGCTGGAGTGTTTATGTGCATTCTTTTTGTTTGTTTGTTTTTCTTGAGTATTTTTATTTAAGAAACATACACAAAATAACAAACTTGAACAGTATAAAAGGTTTGCAGGTAAGAAAATGTCTGCCTGCTTTTACCCGTAAACTCAATTCTAAGCAGGAAATACTGCTACCATATTGTAATGTATTTCTTAAATTATTTATATATTTTTTACATCATTTTTATACAATGTATGATTTATCATCTCAGGAATAGATCCTGTGGAATTCCGTCAATTCACCCATGTACCCTCACCAGAGTCCCTTGCGCTCTTCCTCCCATTTTGATCCTGCTCCCTCCTCCCTCCCCTGCAGAATGTCTCTGGTTTATAGTTGCCTGTTGATTTTGATTTTTACTTTATTATAATAACTTTTTTCCTGATCCCTTATTTGGATCCCCTACATTCCTCCTATAATTGAAATCACCAGTATTTTTCTTTTACTTTCTGGCTTATTTCACTGAGCATGATCCCTTCCAGCTCCATCCATGTTTCTGCGAATGGCATGAGTATATCTTTTTTGTTTATGTGCATTCTAAGAGGCAACAAAGACGGAGTAGAGGGAAATGCATTGCCTTACAGGAGTTTCTCGATTATTGTCTTATGTAGTCATTCATAATTTGAATATTCTTTATGGTTCCATGAAGAAATAAATTCCTACCAAATTCTGGATTATAAACTTGGGACAGCAGTTAGCATTTACTGGAAATGAATAAACATGTGGTATGTTAACATGTAAGCTTTGATTCTACAGGAGATTGTTGAGAACAACTTTTAATTGCTACAGCTCTATCACTGTAACTAGGAAATCAACTCAAAGCAACTTTTAATTCTCTGATATTTTTTCTTTAATTTTGGAAAAAATTACCAGAAAATTGACGTGTTAGGCTTTTTATTAGTTTTCTATTCTGACCGGATTACCCAGCACTTGAGTGTTAGGAAAATCACATTTGTCTTCCTGGCACTTAGCACGATGCCTGGAACTTCATAATCACTGGAGATATTTGTGTTGAGTGAATCAATGTCAATGACTGATTTCAAAGCATTCTGCCTTGATAGGAACTATTAGTAAATGCAGATCTATTTATTTCTCACATGAGTGTTCAAATTTTCCTGTCCTTGTTTTTTATAACCAGAGTCAGTCTTAGAACACCCATCTTTCATACAATAAAAAATTCAAGGAAAGAATGGTTGAAACAGAACCTGAAAGGGAAGAAAATCACCCTTTTGAAAATAATTCTTCCCTTCTTGAAAAAAGCCATCATTAGCTAAGAAATAAATGCAGAAATCAAGAGTTATATAACTTGAGTGCTATATCCTTGTCTCTGCTTATCCCTTATTATTTGGATCTGTGTTCATTGTAAATGCCAGTGGCAGTGTAGGGGTCTGGTCATGAGCAAGGATTCTAGAATCAAGCAGACCCAAAGTCAAGTCTATCACCTGTCATTTGCCAGTCATGTGACCTGGGACCAGTTATTTAACTTTTCTATGTCTTGGTTTCCTCTTTTGTATAGTAGTATCTATCTCATATGGTTATTAGGAAGATTAAATTTGATACATCAAGTGTCTGGCATACACTAGATGCTCACTAAATGTTAAAAACACTAACTCTCTATTGACTTATTATCATGTTCTTCTCTTATCAGAATGCATTCAAGACCTCCACTATATCATTTCAGGTGTCTACTGAAGCTTAAAAAACCACTCCAAAACTCAGTGGGGCAAAACAATAAGAATTCTTTCTTTTCCCTTTTTTAAAATGATTCTGGGGTTGACCGGTGTTCTTCTGCTGGTCTTACCTGGGTTCTTGCACGTATAGTCAGCTGGGACTAGACCCAGGAGGAGCATCCAGCTACTGGCCTCCCTCTCCAGGTGGTTTTTCATCTGGGCTTCCTCAGGTCATAGTGGCCCCAGGGCAGTGCTTCAAATGTACAAGGGCGTGGTTGCAAGGACCCCTGAGGTCTAGGCTTTGCAATTTGTACAATGTCAGCTTCATGACATTCCATTGGTCGAAGCAAGTCACAGGAGCAGCCCAGTTTTAAAAGGACATTGACTCACCTCTGGACAGGTGAAAAGCAAAGATACATTGCAGAAGACCATGCATAAGATGATTTAGCTATGTACAACACAATTTACTATAATATCCCTTTACCTCAACTCATGTCCCTCTTCTTGGGCTGGATTTCCCCATCCTTGACCCACTTCACAAATCTTCCTGCTTCCACAAATCTTCCAGTCATGAATATGTCATGTTGCTAGTGCCTACTGGAGAATCATGTCGTAGGTCTGTTAACAAAGAACCTGTGTCCCAAAGTAAGGCAGACACTCTAACCTAGGAGCAAATTCAGCAAGAGACTCCTTCCAAGAGATAAGCTAACAAGAATCCATGCTCCATGGTTGGGGTCATGTACTTTCTCTGAAATGATACAAATCTAGGAATTTGGAGGTGCTTTCCTTATGCAGTCACACAGTCCCATTGGAATAAAAAGGAAGCAGCGTAAAATATGACTAAAAGAAAATCTGTAACTTTGAGGATTTAACCTGGTGTGAAGATTTTTAGAAATTAAGAGACTGTGATATGAGGTGGTGACAAATAAGGCTGAGACTTGATTGCCCAGCCTTGATTTCAAGCTAAAGGCACATGAGCCAGGCTTCCCTAAGCCGAGTCCCCCTCTCAGACTTCAAGTTGTAAACTAATGACCCAGAGGAGGCAGAATCACACAGTACATGTTTACTAGGAGACAGAGATGCTGGGTTGCCAGAGCCAGCAGGGATGGAAATTCTAGAAACAAGTGGTGTGGTCTGTGGTGTCTGTGTACAGGGCGATTTCCACTGGAGCAATGCTGACTGATCAGGCTGCATGCTCCCCGAGGGAGACCCTCCAGACCTCCTAGAGCACCTGTGAGAGCCATTTCTGCTTCAACAGTTAAAGAGGGTTCTGTAGCTTACAATAAAAACCCTCCCTCATACATTTGTATAACCAGGTAGTTGGCTGAGTCGTGCGGCGTACGCAAGATAGTTTTTCACTTTCTCAGGGCTCAGCTGAAACCAGCTAATCTGACTGCTGGCAGGTGGGTGGCCTCCAGCACTCCAATCTCCCTATAAGAAAGAACACACTCAGGCCAGGGCACCGAGCTCATGGCCTCCACCTGCCACATGCGTGGATCTGCACCAGGCCCGCAGGGCCACGCTCTCCTAGGTCTGTGTCCAGTGACTGAGCATGGTAGAACTACGGGAACTGGGGCATTTCGGTGTTGGGGTTTCCCAGCAGCCAGGCTGAGATTTTCTTAGTTGTACTTTTCTGTCTCTGCTTCCCTGAACTTAAGCCAAAATGCCCTAACACCATGACAACTGTCAGGAATGTCACAGAAAAACACATTTAAAAATTGTTTTTCAAAAGTCAAAACGTGCAAGCCGATCATATATCTGAGGCATACAGCAGGGCACGGGGAGGGCGAGTGGCCAAAACAGGAGGGATGAGCACAAGGGACTGTGGGGATGGGTCACAGGTGTTGTGGTGCAGGAAGAACTGCGGGGAACACACCTGAGGGGAGAAAGCAAATACTGTGCAATAATTAACAATGATATAAGAAAATTAATTAATTTTGTAAAGATTTATTTATTTATGCATACAAGAACTGGGGTACAGGCCAGAGATATGGGGGGTGAGAGGACTCACAGAGACAGAGTGGGGAACAGAACAGGCAGATTGACTGAAATACACTGCTGAGGGGAGCAGCAGGCGAGACAGGAGAGGTCTGCTGTGCCATGTGGGTAGCTCCCTGGCCGGCCAGGGATCGAACTTGTGCTGCAGAGGCTGCGGATTGCTTCATAGTGCGGTGCTTTAACCCCTTGTGCCACCAGGGAGGCCCCAATTAATTAATTTTACAAGATTGTTTTTCAGGTCTTACTGAGTTCGCCTGGAGTGACGCACATAAGCCAGTATCACGAGGTCAGCACTGGGTGACAGAGATGAGTTAGGCCACTAGGGGTTCTGTGAGCTGTGAAGGCCACATGGTTTCCTAGGAGCAGAGAAGCAAGGACCTCTGGGGTTCTTGTTCTGTCTTCACCCACGCCTGTGCCCTCAGACTAGCGGGCACACTCTAGAGGCCACTTCTTCCTTGGTAAACTGAG